TTATAAGGAACCCCCTGAAATTATAAAATGTGAACGTTCCATGTGGTTCTCTAACACTCAACATCTTGCTTCGCCATTGCTGGCTCCATTTTATATATATGAAGTTGGAAGTGATAGAGAGATGCTTCTTAACTAACCAAGCTTTATGATATATCAGACTAAAAAATTTTCTGGAGTCCTATTTAGTTTTTCATGAGAATACATTTACAAAATAATATTTTCATTTCTATTAAGTTTTCTTAGAAATAATGCCAGTATCACCCACAATCATACTTTAAGCAGCAACATCAAAGCAGCATACTTTAAGACCTAAAAGTGAATCTTTAAAATATCAAATGTGATATATTGCCCCCCAAATAGAGAATTCTTATCCATGAGGGCAATTATGGATCAGCATCTCCTACTTACCTGATGAAGCCCCTTTCTTCAGAAAACTCCCAGTTCCTTCCAACTCCATCAGTGTGGTTACCAAACACTGCCAAACATGTAATTTTAGATATTTGTAGTAGTTGAACAAACAGAATCGTGATTATATTTCACAATTTACATAACTGATTTCACGTATCTCTTATGTATATATCTGTACCCATTCCCAGATCTATAGCTGGTGTCCCTGACAGTTAACAGAGCTGTTTTTCTTCCAAGAAGTTGGATAGGGTAGGGGTATATCCCACTCATGCCTTTCTAGAATAGTTCCACAGATGAGACCTTCTTGTGGTTGATGGATGATGAGGGAGGATAGATCAAGGATCATTTCCTAGGCCTTTTGACTAGGCGTCTAAATTAAAGTCTGGGCCATTCACTTAATATAAAAGAATCACATGGGGAAAAATGAAGTGTTTGAACCTGGACAAATAAGGTAGCCTGGAATTCAGATGAAATAATCGCAATCAAAGGAAGATTCGGGGTCCTCAGTGCACAAGTGATCACTGAATTCAGCAACATGGGTATGTTCATCCGGGAGACTGTGGATTCAGAGAAGAATGTCAAGGATGGAGCCCTGGACACAGCAATGTCTAAGGGAGAACAAGAAGGCCAAGAAGGTGATGGGGAAAAAAGGGAAAGTGGGTTAGTGGCGAGAGTTGTGCTACTGAATTCAAAAGGAAGAGAGAACAGTGGGCAGGAGGGTCAAATGGAGCAGAATGAATATGTATTTTCCCAACATAATCTTGTGAATGCTAAACAAGGAAAGGTATTTCTGCTCTTAGCTTAATGCCTCTGGTATTTTTTGTCTTTTTCATTTCAGCTATTTTTGGGCTAATTTTTAAAACTAACCTTCAGAATACATATGTCATGCATATTTATGTATCAGTTTGCTAGGGCTGCTATAATAAATTACCACAAATTTGGTGGCTAAAAAAAAATTTGTTCTCTCATAGTTCTAGAGCCCAGAAGTCTCAAGTCCAGGTGTTGGCAGGGTGAGTTCCTTCTTATTGAGTAAGGAAAGGGTTAAGTACAGGCAGGGCGAGACAGGAGGCCCCTGACTAGGCTCTGAAACTATTCCTGGCTGGCAGAGAGGCTAAGATAGAGCAGAACAAGAGATAAGTGAACAGGGGCGCCTGGGTGGCTCAGTTTGTTACACGTCTGCCTTTGGCTCAGGTCATGATCTTCGGCGGGGGCGGGGGGGGGGGGTGTGTGTCTTGGATGGAGCCCAGCATAGGACTCCCTGCTCAGCGGGGAGCCTGCTTCTGCCTCTCCCCCTGCTCATGCACTTCCTCTCTGTCAAATAAATAAATAAAATCTTTAAAAAATATATCTTAAAGAGAGAGAGAGAGAGAGAGAGAGAAACCAGACCAGCTGGCTCTGGATGTTAGCGGGGTTTTCTTGTTTGTTTGTTTGTTTGTTGGCAACTACATTGTAACCACAGAAAATGACCAGACCTCAAAGAAAAAGTAAGCCATTAGGGATGCTATCAATAGTCTTTGCTCAAAGCAAGAGGGCACAAGAATCTCAAGGCCACAGGCTTCCTGGTCAGTTCTCAATAAAAGACTGTCAGTAAAAGTCCACAGGGGCAACCTATTTGTGACCCCTCTCACTCTAGACAGCTTTTTCCCTTTCCTTTCTATTCTCACCTTCACTTAATAAAAGTTCACTTCACTTCACTCTTTTGTGTCCATGAGATTCATTCTTCGACTCCGACGAGAACCCTGCCATCCCGCAACATTAGGGGCTCAGAGGGAGAATCTGTTCTGCACCTTGCTCCCGGCTTCTGTGGGTGGCCAGCAATTCTTGGCATTCTTTGGCTTGAGGCAGGATAACTCCAATCTCTGCCTCAGTATTCAGACAGCATTCTTCCTGGGTGTGTGCGTCCAAACTTCGCTCTTCCTATAAAGACAGCAGTCATTGGATTAATATACTAGGACCTCATCTTAACTTGATTAAATCTACAAACATATTTCCAAATAGGGTCATATTCTGAGGTTCCGGCTCAACATGAATTTTTGGAGGACATTATTCAACCGAGTAGAATCACAAATTTACAGGTGCTATAGCTACTAGACTTTAGAAAGAGGGATAAATTTAAGCTATTAGAATGGTACACAAAATAAATTATATGTGGGCACCTGTTGGAGGAGGTCATTGGGAGGACATGACCTCCCACTGACCTATGAATTGGACCTGGGGAAGCCGAGGTTCCTCACCACCTTCTCTGTCCTTGGAATGTATGTTCTGCCCACAGTGGAACCACTGCAAGGACACTACCTTAAGAGAATAATATGTTATTGAGACCATCTGGACTCTATGCTGACTGAACCCAGGTAAGGCTTCTCCATAAACTCTCAAGATTCTGGCTGGCAGGGGCAGAGATCTATTCTTCTTGCAGCTGCCCAAGACAAGCCTCGTATGTGAGCTCCCTTGCTTATTAAACCTGACGCGTACCAATCTGGAGTGGTCTGCTTCTTTCTTTGGTCTTTCCTTCCCTCCCAGCATGGGGTCAGTTTTGAAAGTCACAGCCCGGTGCTCCCAAGGTTGGAAGCAACAGCATGGAATTTTTTGCAACTTAGTTTCCTTCCGTTGTAGTAGGAGCTCAAGTAAGTTAAGACTCACTTTGTAGAAATTCTTCACATTCAATATTTTTTAATTTGGCATCACATCTGCTGTGAGAGACATCCCCCAGAACTGTTTCTATAAAGAAGAAATTAAAATTTTTTTTCACTCACTAAAACAGAATCAGAAAGCTTTTCCAACCCTTTGGGATCTGGCCTGGTAGTTTCCATAGCCGAGTAGATGGCTAAACTAATGGACACTTTAAAACTCTGGAAGTAATGAGGTGTGGCAAAGGACCATACCTTTATTTAGACAAAAGTACCTTCTCTTCGTTTTCATCAAATATTTACACTGTACCATGGTCTTTGGGGCCATTAGATCGTAAATGTATCGAGGCCTAAAACAAAATTCTCTCCCTGGGGTGACACTGGAAGGAGAAAAACTGCACAACCCAGAAGTAACATTTGGGCTGATTCTGACATATTTTGAGCGATTCGGTCAATTCAAGAAGTGATTCTAAGACAGGATATGATTCACGAGCAATCCTTCTTAATCACTCCTGGGTTCCTTCCCCTCCTACAGTGCTTGGCTTTCATGATACTGTCCAGGGTCCCCAAACCGGACCAGAACAGGTCTAGCGAATCTCCATGAATAATCCTCCAAACCATCAGGCATCCCAGTCCACCAGACGCTGGAACACCACCCTCTCTTCTCTGGCCCCTAACTGTCCACAGAAGTGTGGTGGTTCTCCACCCTCTTGGGAGCTTCCCACCTGAAATCTGAAACTGGCCAGTACTTGGAGGGCAGGGAGCGACCTAAGAGAGACACTGGCCATTCCGGGGTGGTAGGTGCAGTTTTAATAAGCAAAGGGAACTTGCGGAGGAGGCTTGTCTTCAGTGCCAACAAGGTGAGCGCATCCCTGCATCCCTCTGCCAAACCTTACAAGTTGATGCAGAGACCTGAACTAGGCTTGCTCAGGTATACCCTGTAGGTATTCTCAACACTAGGACACTACCTCAAGGCTATGACCACGGAGCAGCCCCTGGGAGCCCCACGGGCAAGCAGAACCCGCTTTCCAAGGACAGGGTAAAGGGTGAGGAGCCCCAGATTGTCCAGGTGCAGCTCAAGGGTCAACTGGAGGTCATGTCTTTTCCATGACTTCCCCCAACAGGGCAGTATTAGGATGGTCTCCATTCCAGCTCAAGTCCACAGGGCCCTCTATAGTCCAACACATAATTATAAAGAGGCGCCAAATAGGTATTTCAAAGGCCCTGTATTTGAAATACAAGTTTCAAAGACTGGATGGCATTTTTTGAGAGGAAAAGCAAGTAGTAGCATACATGGCTCTTTTGTGAAACAAATTATTTAGGACTCCTGCTACAGATGAAACTGTCAGAAGCGTTTCTAGATAGGAGCGAGAACCAGGGTCTTAGAACTGTTCAAACACCTTTTAACTGCTCTGGCCGCCTAATGGCCACACAGTCCTAAGTCTGGCAAGAGCGCTTGTCTCCTGCCCGAAGATTTTCTGCCAGGGAGCCCAGGGTTCTGTCTCTCGCTTGGGATAACAAGTGGCCGCGCGCGGTCACCCCAGCTCCTGGGTCCCTCGGCTGCCCTCAGCGTCCCGCCGCCTCGGGGCCCGCTGGCCCTGGCAGGAGAGGGGGGCGCGCTACGCCTCCCTCGGACCCGCAGAGACTTCGGTTCCACTTTTCCTTTCCAAGCCTCTCCCACTTCCTTTCCCACAGCTCCCCGCCCGTCCGCCCGCCAAGCCCGGGGCCGCACCTCCGCGGGGTGTCGTCCGCCTCCCGCAAGGTCCCAGCCGCTTCCCCCCGGGGACTCAAAGGGGGAGAATTCCTGTGGGTCCCAGGAGTGCCAAGAGTGCGCAGCAGGACGGGAAATTGCAAAAGTCCTTAGCCCTCTGCCCTCCCCCGCGGTTTTCCCGTAATGCCCGCCCCTCGGCGCTCGCCCCGCAGCTGATTCATAGCCTGGGCGCGGGGCCGCCCCTGCACGTCCACACCCGCGTCCGCACCCGCGGCCCCGCGCCGCCCAGGACCCGGCCCGGCCCGCGGAGCCCTCCGCCCGCTCGCGCGGGGTGAGTACCCCGGCCGCCCGCCCGCCCGCCCTCCTCCGCGCCCCGCGCAGCCTTCCCCGCGCCCCGCCGGCTTTTCTCCGCGGGCGGCCGCGCGCGGCGCCCGGAGCGATCCCACAGCTTCGTAGCCTCTTCCCGGTGTCTGCCCGGCCGGTCGCGGCGCGGCGCACGGCCGCCCGCCTGCCCTGCCCGGCGCCGCCTCTGCTCCGCGTTTGCTTTGGCTCGCGGTTCGACCTGCTCCGGGACGGTGTTCCGAGGGGTCCCCGCCTCTGGCCGGCCGACCCGCGCGGCGAGTAACACTAAAATTAATTCTTTCCAGAGCGCACGCTGCGGGGCCCACCGCGGCGTTTCTACCCGGCGGGAAGTTCACGGTCCCGTCGCTTCTTTCTCAGTCGTCGGGGATGTTTATTGAGTTAAAATACCCAAGTAACCCACTTTTGCCTCTCTCCCAACACCTCGCCACGGGAGTTAATTGTCCCCAACCACCCCCGCGCCCCCTAACATTCCCTCCGCTCCGCGCTGTCCGTGATGTCCCTCCTTCCCGTCTGTGTTTACACCTGGAAGTGGGAGGCGCTCACACCCGGGTGCCGCCTGGAGATCCCGGTGGCGCGGTGCTGCGGGCAGGCACCTAGTCTCCTCTGCCACGTGAATGGAAGGAGCACCGAGCTGGCCGGTTGAGCAGCGGGAGACTTGGAAATGCAAGCGCCCCACTCCCCACCCGCATAGAGCGGTTCAGGAACTTTCCAAGACCATAGAGCGGGCCCCGGTGATTCCGAAAACGCCGCGTGGCCCAGGGCTTTGCCCCTGACACCGTGAGTCTTTTATTGATAGTCCTGGGCCTGTCCTTCATCAGCCCGTCCGTGCCTGCATGCATGCATCCTGCCTGCCTGCCCAGTGGTGGGAAGCGCGCGTTTGGGTGCCACTGAGCAAGGCCACTTGGTAACCGACAGGGTGGAAGACACTCTGTGAATAAGCTTATACTCCAACGCAAGAGGAGTAAATGTGGGGGTCACTGTAGAGGATAGGATAGAAGTGAGTGTGGTGTATTTGATTTGAGCTGGAAGGAAAGAAACTTGGGGTATTATGCCCAAGTCTAATGCTGACTTTGGGACTGGGCTGGAGTTACTCCTCTGGTCAGCCTCGGTGTTCTCGCAGAATAATGATGGTTCACACTGAACTGTGGCCCAGGTGCCGTTCTAAGTACTTGACATATGCCAGCTCATGTAAGCTTCACCGGTGAGCTAGGTAGTAGTTTTGTCATTCTCCTTTTATCAGCGAGGATACCAAGGCCTAGAGAAGTTCAGTAACTTGTCTGTGGTCACACAGCAAACAGGTGAGAGTCAGGAATTGGCTCAGGCTTCTGCTTATAAGCACTATGCTGTGCCTTCAACTCTAGGACCCTCTTTGAAGTGGTCCTGGAGGTGGTGCTCCATTACTACCCTCCTCTGTCTCTCTCCTGGGCTGCTTTAAAATGCGCTCAGACACCCCTGGGACTGAAGGGCCCCAGACTGAGCTGCGCCTCAGAATCAATCTTTTTTAAAGCACTGGTCTCCCACTTACCTATTTAGAACCTTCGGGTCATGCTCAGTTTGTGTCTGCCCTGGTAGCATTCAGAAGTATTAGAAGCCAATAGCAGGGAGCTCACCACCTACTATTTGATTGCTGGACAAAATTAATTCTCAGCTGTAACCTGCCTCCTGGTGACTTACATCTTTGTCCCAGTTCTGCCTCTTGTTGCCCCAGCAAATATGTCTGAGCGTTTTTGTATCAAAGGCCAGCTTGACAGTGTCCAACAGGACTCAGGCCACATGGGGGAAAATACTTTCTTACACACTGGGTCTCTCCTTCTATCCCTTTCTTTAACCTGGAAGACCAGGAGCACCTACACAGGTGTGCTTGGAGGTGTCCCAGACACTCTGATGTTCCTTGTAAACCTTTTGTCCTGAAAAAGGAACCAAGCCAGGAAAACTACCATGGTTTTGAAAGAGAGATCAGTGGTAATATGCTTCCACAAGAGGAAGGACTATGTTTTCCTTGTGGGAACTGGGCTGGGGCATTGTTGGCTCCCGTAGAAGGAAATCTGAGCGAGTGTCATCTTGCTCACTTACAGGAACAGTGAGACCTGGCCCTCCTTTCCCTGGAGAGGGAAACTCTCCTTGATTTAAAAAAAAAAAAAAAGTGAAATAGGGAAAAATAAAACACATATAATACTGTGAGAAATATGCCTCCCTCCAAGCAGGCTTCTTTGGAGTTACATAAAGTGAGCCTTTCTTCCCCAGCAGCTGTGTAATTGGCTTCCCAGCCTTCCTCCCCTTCTCATTTTAGTTCTCCAGTTGGCCCCGGAGCAATGCGGGGGTTGGGGTGCCTAAAACCCCGCATGTAACTTTGGTCTCCCCCAAAACTTAACTACTAGTAATCTACCGTTGACCAGGAGCCTTACTGATAACACAGTTGATGAACACATTTTGTATGTTATATGTATGATATACTCTGTGTTTACAACAAAGTAAGCTAGAGAGAATGGGAGATGTTATTAAGAGCATCATAAGGAAGAGAAAATACACTTACGGTTCCGTATTGCATTTATTGAAAAAAATCCGTGTATAAGTGGACCTGTGCAGTTTAAACCCACGTTGTTCAAGGGCCAAGCGTACTGGTTTTTCAGCATTTATTTATTCCAGGTTGTCCGAATTTCATTTTTATGTTTTAAAAATAATACAAATAATAACTGAATATGTTCTCATTCAGAAAAATAGAGAAGCATATAGAATAAATTGTAGAACTACCGTGGTCCACTCCTACTCCCACTCAGAAGAGGAAAGATGAAGTTTGGTAAATACCATTCGGAGATTTTATTTTGTTTCTATGCATTTGCATAATAATGTATCCATACATATATCTTAATATATATAAATGAGATCTTACTATACATTGTGCAGCTTACTTTTTCATTTTCCAAGTCTTAGAGATTTTCCCATGTCAGTACAAACACTTTTGTTAAAGGCTACATGTTATTCTAAATTAGAAATATAATTTATCCATTTTTTTCCCTTATTGGACATTTGGATGGTTTAAAGTTAGTCAGCATTGGCAACAGGACTTCAGGAAAGACTGTGCATTCATCTTTGTGTGTCAGCCTGAATATTTCTGTGAAATAGAGTTCTAGGGTCAAAGGGTTGGTCCATTTTTCCACTTGAGTCCTTCAAATCATAACACTGCCCCACCCCAGGTCCTAATGTAAAATCAGTGCGTGAGAATCTGTTTCTGTCATCCTTCCCCATCAGCCATTATCTTTTTTTGTTTATTTAAATTTTCAAATCTGGTAAATGAGTGAAACCCGATATGGCATTTTAATTTGCATTTTGCTGATTACTACTGCAATTTAATGTCTCTTAATGTTTATGGGTCATGCATGTCTTCTGTGAATTACCTGTTCCTGTCTTTTGCTCATTTTTCTATTGAGTTGCTTTTTCTGATTCCTGTTTATTGCAGAAGCTCTGTACCTATTCAGGAGCTTAATCCTTTGTCTGTTGTAGATGATTTAAATATTTCTTCTCGTATGATGTTCTTTTTTTTCCCACCAGCTTTTTTTGTGGTAAAATACATAATATAAAATTTGCCATTTTAATCATTTTTAAGTATACAGGTCAGTGTTTTAAATACACTCATAGTATTGTGCACCCATTGCCAACATTCATCTCTAGAACTCTTTCTGTCTTGTAAAACTGACACTCTGTGCCCATTGAACATAACTCCCCATTCCCCCGGGGCCCCAGCCCCTGGCAGCCAGCATTGTACTTTCTGTCTCTATGAATTTGACTCCCCCAGGTGCCTCATGAATGGATGAATCATATAGCACTTTTCGTTTTGTGACTGACTTATTTCACTTAGCAAAATGTCCTCAAGACCATCCATGTTGTAGCTGGTGTCAGAACTTTTTTCCTTTTTAAGAATGAATAATATTCCATTGTATGCATATACCACATTTTGCTTATCTGTTCATAATGCTTTTGTTTTAAACTATCTTTTGCTTCACAGACGTTTTAAATACTTGTGTAATCAACTCTGCAATCATGATTTTTTACAAGATTTTATTTATTTTTACTTTAGAGAGAGAAAGCTAGAGAGAACAGTGGGAGGGACAGAGAGTGAGGGAGAGAATCTCAAGTCAGACGCTACGCTGAGCTCAGAGCCCTCCACGGGGCTCAATCTCACGACCCTGAGAGCATGACCTGCCGAAACCAAGAGTCGGTCGCTTAACTGACCGAGCCACCCAGGTGCCCTGCAATCTTATGATTTTTGTGCTTCACCTGGCTTAGGGGGAGATCTTTTGCACCTAAAAATTGTTTTGAAAATTATCTTATTTTCTTCTAATACTTTTATTGTTTTGATGTGTACGGTTAGCTCTTTACAATACCAGATTTTTGTATGAAGTAAAAGGTAAGGACGTAACTTAATTTCTTTCTAAAGTTTTAGGCAGTTCACCCAACACCATTTCTTTAAGTATCCATCTTTTTTCCAACTCACTTGAAATTCTGTTTTTATAGTAAAATAAATTCCTATTCATACAAGAGTCTATTTCCGGACTCTGTTCTGTTCCATTGATCTGTTTTGTCTCTTCTTAGACCAGTACCACCCTGTGTTAAATGCTACAGCTTTGTTTATATATCTAGTCATATATATTTGTATTTTTTTCCAAAAAATTCTTTTAGAAATGATTCTTGTACATTTTCTCTTTTGTATAAGCTTTACGAATTGCTTGTCAAATTTTAAAAAATCCTATTGGAATTTTTGTTAGGATTTCTTGGGTTTATTTTATTTTATTTTACTTTTAAGATTTTATTTATTTATTTGACAGAGAGAGACACAGAAAGAGAGGGAACACAAGCAGGGGGAGTGGGAGAGGGAGAAGCAGGCTTCCTGCGGAGCAGGGAGCCCGATGCGGGGCTCAGTCCCAGGACCCCGGGATCATGACCTGAGCCGAAGGCAGACACTTAACAACT